ATTTTTTCTGGGTAAAAACATGCAGTAACACTTTTTGACCATTAAAAAATCATGATTCCGGGTTGTCCAACTTGAAGCAACTGATTTCTTTTCTTTTCTCTCTCAATGAAAGAAACACCCGACAACGACTTCTTCCTTGGGTTGTGACACTGCAGTTGTTATTCTGCTTTGCTGCATTCTAAACACGTTCAGTATTTTGTAATATTTGCCACGTTAAAAGGGAACAAAAATTTACTTCTGGCACCGGAACTGAAAGCCACTATCTCTTCCTAGAGCTGGCGTAAATACTATATTATAAAAATATTAGTCTTGCGTTTAATCCTTTAAAAACTCTTTCGATTTATGGTTCCCATAAACAGCCCGTTGAAGGAACATTCTGCCGATTAACACGAATTTCAAAAATTCACGTTAATTTCCGCGAGTTTAATTGCCACTATTTTCGAACCGATTTCTCGATAAACTTCCTTTCACTTTACACTTAAGGAAAAGGAGAAATTTATCAGGGTGGAGATCCGCCATGCAGTAACAGCCTGAAGCCTGAAACTGTAAGCAAACACTTCAAGAGCCAGATTTCTTCGCTTGACCTCTTTCGTATGTTTTTTTAGACAAAGTACCACGACCTGGAGCTGTGTTAGCTTAATGTGTCACGACATTTATCGATACTCTAATTTTTGGAATCGCCACCAAATTTAGTGAAACATAAAAAAACTCACTCAAGACATCATAAGAAGGTCTTAAAAACACAGGAAAGAAGAAGGCAAAGATGGACAAACATGTAGGAAGTTATAGTTTGAAATTGTGTGTTTTTGAAAACTTGTTAGTCTATTTACAGTTTTTCCTGAAAGTTCATTTTAATATTTTGACGTTTGATATAATGCTTCTGAGGTATATTGGTTGTTGCTGTTATTTTGTTATGGTCTATGTTTAAAAAGTGAACTAACGAAATGAACTAGACAGCCTCTTTTTGCTTTGTAAAATTGATGGAATTTGGATTCTGCCAATAACATACTTACTAGACTGTTCGGAGTCCCCTGGTTTTTCGTAAGATTCTCGAGATCAAGCCCCTTCACTAAGATAGCCGCCCGTCGGTAAAGCCTTTTCGCCAACAAAAAGATAAAGAAAAACTATTTTTGGTCGCAAAATCAAGTGGACCGCTTTTAGCGAGACTGCCACTTAAACTTCCTAATATTGGTTGATTTTGATCTATGTTGTTTACTTCTTTACGTGATTTTTTATCATTTACAATAATAATTCTTTATTGATAAATAAGTACACAAAGCACAAGTTAACGATAATAAGATGCCAAAGCCAGAGGCTTATATGGCGTAGGTCAGAGAGTAACAATGTGCTGCTAAGTTACAATGAAAATGAAAATTAATAAGTACAAAATTTACAGAGAAAAGGCAAACTATTACAACATATAAAGAATTATTACTGCATATAAAGCAAAATAAACTTAACAATTAATGATAGTGCGCAAAAAGTAATAAAGAAAAGAGTTTGAAGGGAGAAAAAAATAATAATAAAAATAATAATAAAAATGTTAAACTTATAATGACTGAAAATAATCACTCAGTTTATGTTTATAACTAGAAAGAGTAAGTGAATTACGAAGTGAGAGAGGAATGTCATTCCAAATTTGAGGACCCTGTACCTGAAGAGAAAAAGAATATTTGTGAGTATGAAGATGTAAGTTGTCTTTTTGCCTGGTGAAAGAGGAGAGGGCAAGAGCTTCTGCATGTGAAGGAAAACAAAGCAAGAAAGTTGGTGCTTATAAATATCAAATATGTTGAGTATTTTGAATTTGTTAAAGAGCGAGTAAAAAAACCGCATCACTGATGGACAATGGTCAATTTCCAAGCAATCTCTACTTTGAAAGGCACAGCCTTCCTTTCGCACGGTCCTTTGTGCGCTGGCCTCCCCAACCTCCCCGGGTAAAATTACCCAAAATGTCGACCACTATGATCATGAATTGAAGTACCTCCCACCTGTATGGTTTCAACCCAAAATCGACCGATCGATTGCAGTTACCAAGTTCCTGCCCTCCATGAAGAAACATTTAAAAGTTTTATAACTGCCCTTAAGGGTGTGTGTAGTGAGGGGCACGGCAACCTCGCTTTCAGTCGTTTCCCTTGTAAATACGGTTTTTTTCGGCCTTTGACATGGACAAGTTAAGACAAATCTATGGACACCACTGAAAAAAGCGCCTAAAAAAATTAGTAAAACGGCGAAGTTTGAAATTGATTTGTAGAAAACTAACGAAGATATAAGCTCCTCAAATTCGCGAAATTTTACTGACGGTTGTATAATGGAAGGGGGGGAAGGGCAAATAAATCCCCCCCTCCCACCGTTGAAGGGTCTATCAAGGGCTGGAAATTCTCCTCAATTTATTGGAACGGGTCTAAGTGACACGACCGATAGCCAGTTCCACATGTCCCGATTTCAATGAATTGGTTCGCTGTCTATCATAATCTTTTTTAGGGCCTCTTCTTAAGTACTTAACACCAAAACATTCGCAGTTTAAAGGCAGGTGGGCTACTAGCACTTGCCCTGATCATGAACCTCCCTGACTTCTCCTCTGCAGTAAAGCAAGCGAAGAATAAAAAATGCGCCTACATGCGATGATTAATTCCACTGCAGTGGTTGCCATGTTTAATAGATGCCACATTTTCGCAAACAAGGCAGCCGAAAGTGGATGTACCTAAGGAGTCTTTTCTGCCCTCAATACTTCCCTCAGAACGTTTAAGTGTTCTTGGTTATGCATGTGTGTTAGACATAACGGGCTTTTTTTACAATTAGGGGACGGTTAAGTGTTATTTTTACTGTCTTGTTTCAGGTACCCTGGTTTCAGAGGTCCGTTCTCGAAATAACTAAGATAAAGTAAACCGTGATCATTATCAGGATCGAATTTGGGAAGAAAAATACAACCATTAGTATACAGGGTGTATGACTTTGTTTCAGGGTGCAAAAATGTATAATCAATATCAAATGGACCAAATGGGAAATCAGAAACCATTAACCAACTTTTGAAACGCTTTTCAGTCCACTTCATTAGATGCATTGTTGCTCAAGGGGTAAAACAGCAGAAGAGGAACAAGAAAGGCCTTAAAAACACAACAATCGAAATCACTCACGTGCTTGTCTTGAAATTAGTTCCAAAGATTGTTTCAAAGTGCTTTAAAAAGATCAGAGGTTAGTTAACACTTGTTTTGTTACTCAAAAAAGACATAACAGAAGCGAGAGCCTACAGTAGGCAGCGGAACTGATTTTGAGTGCTCATTTTTGACTGTAATTGGTTGCTTCAGAGTAAGTTCTGGAGTGAAACTGCTTGACATCAAAACCTGCACTGAAACAGACCATCACCTTCCGACCGTGCTGTGTCACGCTCGCATTTCCTCCTTTTGTTCTATTCTGCTGTTCTATATTCTGTACCATTTTATATACTTTACACGCTACAGCGTGCAACAGAAAATCAAAGCGAAGAAATATATGGTTTCGTTTTCAGTAAACTAAATAAAAACTTGCAAAATACACAGCCAGGAAACACTCGCTTTCCGTTTTGTCAGCACACTCAAAACAAATAACTTATCAGTGTTTTGTTTGGCCTTGAATGCTGAAACAATTCAACAAATCACGTAACATGTACAACATTTAAGAGAGAAAGAAAGAAAAAACGCTTCAATATCCCGTTTTGTCCCATTTTATTTCATTTTTTTTTTTTTTTTCGTTGCGCATGCAGATCATTACTTCTCAACATTCTTGTGCATCCTTCCCTAGATCAACTGATTTTCTTGATCTTGATTTCGGCTTGTGTCTGCTTTTTCTCCTTCCAAATCCAGCGTTTAAGGTTTCGGGGTATTTACGTGATGAGACGGGGACGAACTCAGACCTGCATGACTTGAGTTTGTTTCAGTCTCGATACATTTCTTTTCAAAGACTATCCCGCAGTCATGTACTAGATGGTTCTTGTTGTTTTCTCTTTCGTTGCTAGAGGCTTTTCCCCTAAAAAGAAAGCAGAACGCCTGATCGCAGTTTACCAAAAACAGCTACCCTGCCAGCAGATTTTTCTTTCCGGCATGGCTTTCACCCCTCACTCACCCCTGCTGACCATTTACGAAGTCGTTTGCCGGCGTTGCCAAACAACTTTACAAATGTTAAAATTCATGCCATAAAGAAACCTCTGGTCACAGGGTAGAAAACAGCTTACCAGAAAGTAAACCCAATGGAAACCCATGCAATTGCTAGTGACCCGACGTTCAACGACGTGATGAATTTGTAATCTACCTGATATCTTTATCTTTTTCTTTTCTCTCTCTCTTTTTTATGTTGTATGTCATTTCCGCCTCTTCATCCAATACAGCTTTTTTTGCAACATACTGAAATTGCTTTTTAAAAAACCTACAACATCTGTAAAAATAGAAGGCTGGTCTGGCCAGCCGAATTATCATTTGGAAAAATTAGACTGTACACGTTGTTTCAGCTTTGCGGAGTCTTTGGACTTCCCCTGAATTTCTTTGTACCAAATTGAGTGGCGGATCTAGGGGGGGGGGGTGCAGGGGGTGCGCACCCCCCCCCCCCCGGGGGCCCGGCGGTTTTTTAAACAACTGGGTTTTTGGCCAAACACTGGGGTTTTTTGGGTTTAAGTATAGGAAAGGAAAGGGGGACACCCCCCCAAAAAAAAACCTGGAACCGCCCCCGCAAATTAAATAGGCANAAAAAATTCCATCTCGTGTCCGACGAACTACTAGAAACACAACATGCGCCTTTAGAAATTTTGCCATATGTTACGATGGAGGGGAGGTGTTAAGAAAAATTATGTGAAGTAAAGTATTTTAAAGGCCTTCTTGTCTTTAATTCGGCCTCCCTCCTCTTACACTTTTTTCGCTAGTTCATTTGAAATTAAACTTTGTAGTCCGAAGTTATATTTTATAGAATGGTGCTGGTACAGTGGATGGATAAGTTTAAAAGGTCCAGTGACTTTTTAATTTTCATTTGCAGAGTTTAAAGTGATTCCCACCCCCGAAGTCACTGCAACTCAGTTCATGACTAACTTCTTGGGCATTAGTTCGACAAATAGACGACGCAAGAGGACAACACTTCCAACGGATAATGTGATCGTTATAGATGGCTCTGGTTCAATAAGCAGTTGTGAATTTGAAAGAGGAAAGGTGGCTCTCCAGAATTCAATGCTAGCATCACATAACAAAGGCCGTGATGTAAAGTATGCTGCAGTTACCTTTTCCGACTTAGCCAGTAAAAACTTTGGGTTTTTACCATACAAACAAGCGAAGGGAAAGTTAATGAGCATCTCTTATCCAAATGGCATGACCAATACTCAGGCAGGACTGGCAATGGCCAAGACACTGTTCGAGGACTTTTCAGCAGGTGAGATGAAACAACGAAATTCAAATTGATCATCAACTAAAAAGTGCTCAATGGGTTTACCAGAGCTTTGAATAGATACGTAGACTTGAACTAGGTCAAAAACATTTACTTGCTACTCAGAGTTTCATGCTTCATGAGAAGCAATCATCAGGCAACTGCCAAAAAGAAGTTTCTTTTTGGCAGTTGCCTGATGATTGCTTCTCATGAAGCATGAAACTCTGAGTAGCAAGTAAATGTTTTTGACCTAGTTCAAGTCTACGTATCTATATATATATATATATAAAATAATAATAACGATAGTAGTAATAATGATTATGACAATTATAATGATTATGATGATGTTGATGATAATAATATATAATAATAACAGTAATAATAATAATGATAATATTTTAGTGTTAGAATAAACGTTTTGATATGAACAAGTTCAATATTAGAAAAAGTAGGTCGAAAAAAGCTCTGCTTCTACGTCCTTAATTAAAAACAACCCTCGCTCGCAGTATGCAAGTGAAAGATCTTTGGCATACCAGCAGATGTTAATGTTCCCCACAAATGTTCTCTTAATAACTAAATTTTTTTTACATTTTTACTGCATCATTTATTTGAATGTTAAACAAATCGCATATAAATGGCATATTTTACATGTTCTAGGTTGGCGTGTTGGTTCGAGAAAGGTGGTTTTGCTTATTACTGACGGCCAATCAAATAAAGATAGGCATTTGACCATACCCAACGCCGAGGAACTGAAAAAAATAGGAGTCGACATTTACGTGGTTGCTGTGGGATCAAACCTTGATATAGTTGAGATTGTAAAGGTTGCCGGTCCGGGTTCTTTTAATCTTCATAGACCTCGAGATGGCTACCTTTTCAGAGTCCAGGACTACAATGGATTCTTGAAGATCACGAAACTGGTTGTGCAAAAAGCAAACGCGGGGACACCGTTTTCCTCCCCTTGCTACACGTAGGTTGGACTGAATCTTGTGGCATAATATGGTAGAAACTTGACATGTAAGAGAACATTTATTTAGTAAAGTCTTACTATTTCATGTTTCTGTATAATCAGGTTAGGCTCATGACAGTAAACTTGCCAAATGTTTTTTTTTTATTTTTTTCCCCGCTTGCGATTTTCTTCTCCCAGCTTAAGCAGTAAAAGTTAAGTTTTTACAGTTTTTTTTGCCCAGGAGTTTAAGCCATGACGAGGATGATTGAAAGGGGGCAAAAATTAATGCCCAAAAAATCCCTAGGACTTCCCAAGAACCCCCGAAAAATCCCTGGATCAAAAATTAACCCCCCATCCTATGCTGTATCAGTCTGAGCTTTAAAGCTTTTCAGGAAGGGATTAATTAAATAATTAACATGCCAAAAAGGGATGATTGTTTTTTTCATTTGAGTCATTAATTGTACAATATAAATTTATCTTAATTTCCACTTCTGGTAGTATAGTCAAAACTACACGGCCAGTCGCTTCCGTGCGGTACGACGCCAAAGCTTTAGATTGTTTTGAGTACCCCCAATAACTCAAGAAGTTTAAGGCTTGGACTAAGGGGTTTACCTGTGGAAAATGATTTATTGGCTATAACTTTGGCATAGATGATGGTGCTGAATCAAAATTTGGCACACATAAAGAACTCATCGTATTTTAACATTTTAAAGTTCAATATTGTTTTAATAAGTCACGTAAAATGTCACGTGAACATTTTGCTAAAAATCGTAAATTATTGACCAATTGGTGGCCGGTTTAAAAAAAGAAATCGAGCAATTCAAAGTAGACAGACTGCAAATTATCTTAGTTGCTAAAAAATATATATCTACGTGTCGCAACTGTTCATCAGTAGGATGCCTAAAATGCGTGCAATTCCACAATTGGTTTCGGCTCCATTAAATCCTATACCAATTGCAGAACATTTTAGGAGGAGCCACCCACCATGTGAGCACAGTCACGGACAATGTATAAGTGAGGAAAATAACGCAAAGTAAAATTAAGACGTTAATAAACGAACTAAATGTACACGTCAATTAAATAAATAAACAAATAATGCGCGCGCTCAAAATAAAATTGTACGCGCACACGTACCGAGATACATCTGAAATACAACACTAGGTAATAAATAAGTAATGTAATGTAATGTTAGGATACGATGGTGCAATTCAAGCCTGGATTGCTAATCTCATCTCCCGCAGGGCTGCACCATACTTCTCGACGATAAGACCATAACAACAACAACATTTTTCTAACTCATATTAGATATTTCTACCACTTCACGTTTGGAATGGCCGTCCATTGCACTTCAATAAAGAATAAAGAATTACGAGGGAAAACATCATTTTAAATGCCCATTTAATCTTGAATTATTTAGAACTTTAATTTTGAACTTTGCGTACATTCATTCCAAACGTAGAAAGTTAGGTATGTTTATCCTCTTTCAGAAATGCCACTTTGTTTATACAAACAAAGTAAATTCGCCGCCAATTCGCCAATTTCCTTCATTTTCAATTTTTGGTCATGTGATATATTAAACGTTAAGGCACAAGAAAACCTGGCCTCAAGATTTACTTTTGGAGAAAAGCTCATTTTGTTATAGGTCTCCTAGCGAGAGATATCATATGCTTTGAACACATCAAGGCCTTAAACCCCTTGAGAATTACCACCCCTCCCCCCTCCGCCCCAAAAAAGAAAAAAGAAATTCTCGGAGTGGGAAATTTATAAAACCCCGAGATACCGGTATCCTCCGATCATCTCCGTCTCTTTAACTCTGGAGTACCCAGCTCACTGGTGCCTTTTTGATTCTGTTTAATTTCTCCTGCAAAATCTTTTTGTTTTTTAACAAAAAATACTTTCTACGATACAGGAGACCATATATTATAAACGTCTAAAAGGCTCAGAAAGCCAGTTGTGTTAAGTTAAGCGTTTTTTGGCATCCCGGGGAGACATAACCCAACATGTGCCTCATTGACAAAGAAATAAAAAAACTCGCCGGATTGGCTTTGTTTTATAAGTTACAAAATGTCATGCAGAAATAGAGAAGGGAAACTAGCACCAGCCCGGGTGAGCGCTTCTGCATCTCGCGCTTTTATCGTGTTCTTATAATTTCTTATTGACACCTAGCTTGGCAACCTTGACTAAATCAGGTAACGATGGAAACCTTTTATTTTATTTTGCCTTTCTTGTGTGTATTAAGCCGGAGGGTCCAAAAGCCACTTAATTCATCTGGCATCCAGGCATTTTGGGTAAAACATTTAGAGATCTTAAAGGAATCAAAGCAATCAAGTTGGGTTTATCTTTTGTATTGTGCCGTTAGAATAAATTAAAGGAGCGGTTTTCAGTATTAATTAGTTTAAAGTGCAGAAAAAAATGATTTGCCTTTATATATACACACCATGTGCTATCCAACGAAATAAATCGTGTCAGTGATGTTATTTTTGTGTGTTCTTTAATTTGTCTAATCCCTTCCCACGTATACGTATACTTGATAACTTTGTAGCGGGAAAAATAAATCGTTTAAGACTTGCATAGGTCAACACTGAAGATTCGCAACTTCATTAAGTGCAGGCAAAACAGGAAAAGAGGGCTGTCCGCAACTACAGCTGGCCGCTAACGGTGTTATCCTGATCAATATATTTGGTAGTTTCCTAACATTACAGTGGAACCTCTCCGCAGTTGGGACACCTCTATTAAAGGGACACCTCCATTTGGTCACGGAAGAATGTTGATATAATCTTTCTATTCTCATTGCATAAATAATTAGTGCATTACGCGATTTGAGCTAAATCCTTCAGATTTCGCCGTGCTCTGCGTTTCCGGGGCAGGCATGGAGTCTATCTTTTTGTCGAGAGTCGAGGGTGTCGAGGGTCGAGGGTTCCATATCGAGGGTCGAGGGTAACATTTAAAAAAAAAATTTTTGTTTGAAAAATCGAAAACAAATAGAAAACAAATAAGAAGAATTTCAAAAACAAATGGCGCGTGGACATCTCCATCCATATTAGTTCTACTTGTTGGGTGGAGAGGAGGGGGGGGGGGGGGGGGGGGGGGGGGGG